GGACAGAGCGGTAGGTACAGACCTGCCATAGAGGCAGGCGACTGAGAAAACAGCTGCAGCAGGAGCACACAGGAGCAGAGCACAGACCCAGGAGGCCAGCCCCACCTTAGAGAGCTTAGGAGTGAGTCAGAGCAACAATAGCCCCAGATTCCTCTAATGCTGAGCAATTTATCAGCCTCTCAAGGACTTGGTTTCTCTCCCTTGGAAAAAAAAAAAAAAAAGACTGCAAAGTACTTTCCCCAATGGAAATATCAACTGTTGTAAAACTATTATTTAAAAAATTTTTCATACTGCAAAAATGTATAACCAATACCAACACGTATAGACACAATGAAGGTCCCTATGCCCATGTCCCTATCAATCCCATGGCCATCTATGCCACTTTAGAGACATTTTTTTAAAACCAGAAGGCCCAGTCTGCAGACTGCCCTGGCCCACATGCTGCTGCCTGCCATGCGTAGGCGATCCCCCAGCACAGCAACACAGGCACTCACAGAGCTGCGCTTCTGTAAACGGCCTGGCCCATACCCTGCACGCACCTAGTTATCAATGCACTTATAATCTTTCACTAGAATATATTCTAAGATGTAGAATTGCCACTTGAATGAATGGCCATTTGAAATTTTGATACTTTTCTGGAAAGCATTTAAACATTTTTATATGTTAATGTGTATAGGTCTCTCTAGAGAACAAATATTATGTAATACTTAATGCTTACATGATGCTTACTATGGGCTAGGCCAATTCTAAGCAACTGTCATATGTACTTGCTCAAACCCCAAGAAACCATATAGGGTAGGAATCCTCACTGCAGCTACGGTTGTCCAAACAAACCCACTAACATGGAAGGTACAGACGGGCTCTCTTATCCGTTAGGCTGTTTTCCTGCTTGGAGATTCGCCTACCTATAGGCCGTACACGGCCTCCTCATCTTGCAACAAGGAAGCTCTTTCTTTTATTGCTGTTTTGCAAAAGATCTTTATATATTGACTATTAAGCTCACAAAGGCCTAACGGTTTGCACATTTTCTCTCTCACTGACTGACTCTCCGTTATGGTCTTCTGCATTGCTAAGTCTGCTAGCATTCCCTCCTAAGGCTTCTGTCTTAGTTTGAGGATAAGACTACATAGCAGTTTTTCAGTTCATGGTCCTCAAATACATTCTTCCAATAATTTTTCCCAGGTAGCTAATATTAACAGTGAACCCTGAACTGCTCTGGTTGAAATGGATGTGCAGCACAGGCCATTGTCTGCCACCGCCCCTACTGCTGGAGGACTTTTCAGAAAACCAAAGCAAGCATGGGACAGGATAGAGCAGCCACTGGCTGGCTTGACTGGGGTGTTTTGTTTTCAGTTTTTTATCACACACATAAGACAGCATGAGGATGGCAGTTACTTCCCTGACCCCACGAAACCCAAGGAAAAGTGACAATTCCAAGGTCAGATAACACAAGGCTGGCTACATTGGTGAGGTCTTCCAAATGATCCTGTCAGATCTGTCCTAGCCCCAACAACTCAACAGCACTGACCCAAGTCAAGCCTGTCCATGGCCCTGAAGCAGGGGAAGGACGACTCGGCCTTTGGGACTCTACTGTCACTCCTCTAAACACTGTGTCCAAAGATACACAGCAGGATCCATTTCTCGTCACTACAGGAGCAAGAAAGGAACCTAGATGGCAAGTGTTTGAAGTGACAGATGGTGGCCCCAACTAGGTAGGTGCTCATTAAACACTAGCTACTGATTTGTGTAGTGGTTACTAAAAACCCTCACCATGAGCTCCCTGCTCCAGGGAGGGCACGCTGAGCTGCGCAAAGGTACTCACCTGTTACACGGAGGGTCCCAGGGAAGGCTATCTATGTACAACCCTGGTCTTGTCATCCAGGAAGTGAGAAGGCATGACAGGGAGGCAGAGACAGGCAGCAGCCAGGCCAAGAATGGCTGCAGTTGCCGCAGCCCACATTCCACCCGGAAACAAGGCCCACTCTTCTCACTCACAGAAGCCCAGGAGACTAGTGACCCCGGGGGAGCACAGCTGACCTTCACTCAGTGAGTCCTGTAGGAATGGCCTAGGTTCTGTGCACAGGCAGCAGCACTTCTGACCCAGCAGGCCGCTCATCTGACCTGAACCTCTAGGTCAAGGCCAAGCCCAGACATCACTCAATGACGGGACACATGCTGGTCACTGGTCTCTCTTGTGCTGCAACCCCAGGACAGTCTGGGAGCTACAACCAATGGAACAGGGGCTCTACTCTGGCTTCACCTTGTGAAGCCTGAACCAGCTCCCCATCCAACAACTCTAGTCCAGGGACTAAAAGCCCCATAGCCCAAGGCGCCTGCCTCCCAGCAGCAGCAGGTGTCTCTTATTTCTGCACCCCCTGCCCCGCTACATCAGGTATTAATATATTACTCATGGCAGCTTCGGAGTTCTGAAAGCCCAGCCGTTTTCAATAGAAACATGGATGAGCTCTACGGGAGTGATGAAATTTTCTTCTGCTCTGGCAATTAGGACGGCACAAAGTCGCCTTTCCTTCGGTGCCACCCCCAACATCAAAGGATTGGAATTCAAAGCCATTCATGCGGCATTGAATCCTCACAATGGAGCTGGAAAATGGAAGTCGATTACTGGGCATAAATATGCAGTAGTTAAAAGGAGAGAGTTATAACGAAATTAAGCTGCAGCAGCCCCGCGATGTGTGGAAACTTCCAGCTCTCAAGCCCTCCTGGTAAACATCAAGAGGGACATCCTCCAACCCCGGGTTTGAGACCAAAGTCAAACTTGGCTGCATCAGCCCCACGAGGCCAGGGTGCCATGCTGTCTTGTCCCCCTCTCAAAGCGGCAGCCCCCAGGCCTCTGAGAATGTGCCATTTGGGGGCTTTTCATTTTGCATAGCTCTGAGGCTGCTGACCACAGAACATACTAGCTAGGGCTGCTTTGGTCCCATCTTTCCTTGATGTCTAGGCCTTCCAGGCCTGTATGCTCTAGTCATCCCACCCCCACATCCTCAGGACTCCCCAGCTCTCCTATCAACACAGCAGACCCCTAAAGGGGGCAGTGTTCACTCTGCCTTCTAGCAAACCCTCCCTCTCCTCAGATCAATCACTGATCTCTTTAGGAAGGTACCTGATCTTTAAAAGAAAAGCCAGAACACAGAAAGCCACAGAAGTCTTACAGTGGGCCGGGGGTGTGTTTTTAAGGCATGAAAATACTTCCCTCCCACACAAACGGGGAGTTCTTCTGGGGAAAGATGCCACAGATCCCCAGGAGTCGCATCTCTGGGAAAGCTGATCAGTCTTTAAAACAGGTAAACTGAGCAGACTATAGCTTGAAGGAGCTACCTGGAAAATAAAACTGAGTCTCACATATTTTCAATATCCAAAACTCCATACTGATGTAAACTTCTAACTGGGTGGCATTTTGCATTTCCAATTATAATAGAGTAATTGTGTTGCCATAGTGACTGCAAAATTCTGCAATAACTTTTGTTGCCTTGTAACTGCTGTAGTGTATATTTGTGTACAAGCAGCTGAGTTTTCTTAATTCAACCTCCCTGCCTCTCCCCAAGCACCAGTAGCACCAGCACCACCTTTCCGGGCTGGATTCTGAAACCACACCAGCTTTCATTAGGCCGTTCCGGAATTAATGCACGGAATTATCGGGAGCAATTAAAACTCGTGGCAGCCACGATCATATCACCGAAGAAAAAGCGAAACCAGGTCAAGGTGCAAGCCTCCAGCATCCCCCCGAGCCGCGGGAGCTAGGGCCAGTTTACAGGTTAATGTCCCAGGCCTTAAACGCTTAGGTGGTTTAGTGGGAACAGAGAGAAAAGCTTGAGTAGAGAAAAGCGGGGAAGCAAAGTGACTGCACAGGCCTTTCCTCCCCGAGCAGGCAGAGCGGCTCCCAGCAAGCAATTAGGTAGGTCTCTAAAGTAATGCAATTAGGATTTAGTTAAGAAAGTCATTAGTTCTAAAATAACTGAAGTTTAATTTCTGCAACGCTTTATTTGAAAATTGTGTCACAGCAGGTCAATTTACAGCACGCAATAACGAAAACACTCCTAGCAGCCGCCGCAAGTTATTGCACATTTCCGACGTGCAGTAAACTGGTCGGCGGTTCCACCCGGCCCTCCCAACCGCTACCAGCGCTCCCGGCTCCGCTCGGGGCACCGAGGCACCGGGGCGCCGGCCCGGGCTCGCACTTCCCCGCCAGGCCCGCGGCACTCGGGGCCCAGCCGGCCGCGGCCCTCCCGCCCCC